CATGATAGATTCTTTAGGATATATGTCTTCCGATCCTGACAAATTGACTGCTCGTGTTTCTGAGGTACTACTACTATGCTAGCTCTCATGTTATCTGGAAATTGCTTTTCAAATGGAAATGGTACAACCAGGAAGCTTTCTATATCAATTCTACGCAGGCTTATTATTTCAACTTAATTACTTGTGTTTGTTCTTCCAGTTAGAAACCATCATCATATTTGCAAAATCAGGGATCTGAATTTTCATAGCATAACAAAAAATTTGACAAGATGTTGCTTAATATTCGACACTTCTTAACCCCTTGCAGCATGCTTTGTACTAGCTCTACCTTGGTCTTGTTGTTTTCGCATCGGCATGGATTGGTGTGTTTATTGTTCCTCTCTTGTTGTTACAGTTTTCGTTTTCTCAAAGTTACTACTTCTAGTAGTTCCATAACATCCTTGTTGATTTTCTCTTCAGGTGTTGCGTTCTGGATGCAAACTGGGGAGAGACAGACGGCTCGTTTTCGTCTGAAATATCTTCAGTCAGTTTTGAGAAAAGATATAAGCTTCTTTGACACTAAAGCCAGAGATTCTAACATTATTTTTCATATCTCCAGTGATGCAATCCTTGTCCAGGATGCCAAAGGAGACAAGGTATATAACCATAAACAGGAACATAAAGATTCTCATAATGTTCAAAACTTTGGTCTGATATTTCACTAATACTATATTCTCTCCTGCATCTTGGTGCAGATAGGCCATGCTTTCCGTTACCTTTCACAATTTTTCGTCGGTTTTGCCATTGGGTTTACCTCTATATGGAAGCTTACACTACTCACCTTGGCTGTAGTTCCACTGATAACCATTGTCGGCGGAGCTTATATTACCATTATGTCAACTCTATCAGAAAAGGGTGAGGCTGCTTATGCTGAAGCTGGGAAGATCGCCGAGGAGGTAAGTTTTAAGAAGGTTTTTCTCTTTGAACACAATTCCAAGGCACAAGAAACACCATGCTGTTACAGTTTCAGATTCTAATATTATCGATTTTTAGTTGGTGGCAGTAGACTCCATGCTCTCAAACTTAGCAAGAACATTGACAAATCTTCAATTGAATTTTACGATCATGCATGCAAACTAATTTCTTAATCTTGTTTCATGTATGGAGTTAGCTTTTCTTTGCCTCTTGGTTCAGGTTATTTCGCAGATTCGCACAGTATACGCATTTGTAGGAGAGGAAAAAGCAGTTAAAGCATACTCTAGTTCACTTGCAAATGCTCTTAAAATGGGGAAGAGAAGTGGACTTGCAAAAGGGGTGGATGTTGGATTTACCTATGGTTTGCTGTTCTGTGCCTGGGCCTTTCTTCTTTGGTATTCCGGCATACTTGTCAGACATGGTAAAACAAATGGAAGGAAAGCGTTTACTACAATAATCAATGTCATTTTTAGTGGATTGTAAGTACAATCTGAATGTTCTAACAAATTTTCGGGGAGTTTATCTCCAACCAATCGTATTCTATGATAAAGAAACAGCTGTTTCGCTTTTGTAGTGCTTTAGGTCAAGCAGCACCAAACCTTGCTGCAATTGCTAAAGTCCGGGCAGCTGCTGCCAATATCTTCAGCATGATAGAAGCAGACTCGAAGCCTTCAGGACAGTCGGATGGTGAAACTATTTTTCCAGAAGTTGTTGGAAAAATTGAGTTTCATGAGGTCTGTTTCGCTTATCCGTCTAGGCCTCACATGGTGTTTGAGAATTTAAGCTTCTCAATTGATGCCGGGAAGACGTTTGCGGTTGTAGATCCCAGTGGTTCAGGAAAGAGTACCATCATATCCATGGTTCAGGAAAGAGTACCATCATATCCATGGTTCAACGTTTCTATGATCCCACTTCAGGTAAGATACAAAATTTCGGAGATTATGAAACGAGTTACGGTATAGTTTTACTCCTCTTATCTGATACACCAGCATTATCAGGTAAAATGCTATTGGATGGATATGATCTTAAGAATCTGCAGTTAAAATGGTTGAAACAACATGTGGGATTGGTTGGTCAAGAACCAGCACTGTTCGACGCAACGATAGCAAACAATATCCTACTCAAAAAGAAGATGCAGACATGGAGCAAGTTATATTAGCTGCCAAAGCTGCTAATGCACATTCTTTCATTTAGGAACTACTGATAGTTATAACTCACAGGTATGTTCTCATAGGCCACTTTTTGTTCATCAATTAGGAAAAAAACGGAAGACATTTATTACATGTATCGATAATGAGTAGGCTGTTTTCACATTTTCTGCTATCTGTGACCGATCCTCGAGCATGATGCTTTGAAAGTTTGTTGAATTTAGGTCGGCGAAGGAGGAACTCAGCTTTCTGGAGGTCAAAAACAACGAATTGCTATAGCAAGATCCGTGTTGAGAAATCCAAATATACTGCTTCTAGATGAGGCCACAAGTGCTCTTGATGCAGAATCAGAACTCATAGTTCAGCAGGCACTGGATGGGATTGTGACAAATAGATCAACAATCATTGTGGCACATCGGTTATCTACCATTCAAGACGTCGACATCATCATTGTTTTGAAGAATGGCCAGGTTGTTGAGAGTGGGAGCCACATGGATTTGATGTCTAAGAATGGAGAATATGCAGCTCTAGTGAGCTTGCAAGTATCAGAAAACACTGCAGATTCAAGCTCTATATGCCATTCTGATGCTTCTGTAAGTTCTAGCTTCCGACAACCTCAAGATAGTCAAAATCCAGGGCAGGATTCATCATCAGTTACAGAAATGGGATTGGAGAAAAGTTATCAAAACTCGCCTCAGCAACGTTCTGCACCTAATCCTTCGATATGGGAACTACTTAAACTAAATGCACCAGAATAGCCCTATGCACTGCTTGGCTCGGTTGGTGCAACTCTGGCGGGCATGGAAGCTCCATTATTTGCCTTTGGGATCACGCATGTCTTGACTGCATTCTACTCTCCTGATGATGTTCAAATTAAGAGAGAGATTGAAAGGGTGGCTCTTATTTTTGTTGGTCTGGCTACTCATACCATTCCAATATATCTTCTGTAACACTATTTCCACACCTTAATGGGAGAGCACCTCACAGCTCGTGTCCGTTCATCAATGTTCTCAGGTTTTTTCTATTTCTCAATCTAGGAAGCTGAATTTGATAATTTGTTTTCCACTGTGGGACATTCATCACATTGCAAATCCTCTAGAATATGAAATTTTAGTCTCGACTTCGCACCTTAGATTAACGTACAATTTAATTCTTTATATATAGCTATTCTTTATATATATGCAACCCTTGTACGAAGTGCTCTAGCTGATTGGCTATCCACAATCGTGCAGAATGTAGCACTTACCGTGACAGCATTTGTAATTGCATTCACTTTAAGCTGGAGTATTGCATCGGTTATTATCGCTTCCTTTCCCTTACTCATAGGTGCTTCCATAACTGAGGTAAGGTTTGGAGACCACTTATTTCGATTCTTCAATTATTAACAACTCCTCAGGTCTTGTATTCCGGTTTTTATTCTTTATTTCTTTGATAACTGCAGCAATTGTTTCTCAAAGGATTCGGAGGGAATTACAGTCATAGCTACTCTAGAGCAACTGCTGTGGCACGAGAAGCAATAGTTAACATTCGTACTGTGGCTGAATTCAGTGTTGAAAACCAGATATCAATCCGGTTTGCCTCAGAACTAAACCGACCAAATAAGCAAGCCTTCTTGCGAGGTCATAATTCAGGTTTTGGGTATGGTGTATCTCAGCTCTTTGCATTCTGTTCCTACGCCCCTGGCCTTAGGTATGCATCGGTGCTAATCAAGCAAAACAAATCTAACTTCGGTGATATCATGAAGTCCTCTATGGTTTTGATAATCACAGCACTGGCCGTGGCAGAAACATTGGCTCTCACACCAGATATTGTGAAGGGATCACAAGCATTCGGGTCGGTTTTCGGAATTTTCCACAGGAGAACATCGATTGAACCTAATGATTCCACATTGAAGGTGGTAAGCGAGATCAAGGGAGACATAGAGTTCAGAAATATTAGTTTCAAGTATTCAATGAGACCTGATGTAACCATTTTTGAGGACCTAAACCTGAAATGTCAGCCGGGAAGAGTCTAGCCGTTGATGGACACAGTGGTTCAGGGAAAAGCACCGTGATCGCCCTAATTATGTGATTTTACGATCCCCTTTCGGGGGCAGTGCTGATTGATGGCTATGATATTAAGACATTAAACCTGAGATCTCTAAGGCTGAGAATGAGTTTAGTTCAGCAGGAGCCAGCATTGTTCTCGACCAGCATATACGAAAACATCAAGTTCGGGAAGGAGGATGCATCAGAGATCGAGATACTGAAAGCAGCAAGAACAGCTAATGCTCATCGATTCATCAGCCGAATGCCTGAAGGATACCAAACAAATGTCGGCAATCGGAGTACAATTATCAGGAGGCCAAAAGCAGAGAGTGGCGATCGCTAGAGCGATCCTGAAGAATCCTTCCATTCTTCTCCTGGACGAAGCCAAAAGTGCAATGGACACGGAGTCTGAGAAATTAGTTCAAGAGGCTCTGGATAATCTAATGGAAGGCCGCACCACAATCATCGTAGCACATCGGTTATCAACGATACGTAACTCGGACAGCATCGCGGTGCTGGAACAAGGAAAAGTAGTTGCAATAGGCTGGCATGAAGAGCTACAATTGGTCAGTTTACAGCAGTGAAGGAGCATCCATGATAAATAAACCAAGATTTAGTATTAAAATCTTATACATGATGAATCTGTTGTATTCAAAAACACCTTTTATGATTTGTTTGAAATATGATTTTTCAAATTTGTGGAGGATTGTGAGTCTTGGATAAAAAAAGGCTTTATTTCTTTTTGAAGAAAATATTTTGTGGTAAATTATGGAAGGGTTATTTATGGAGAGGGTTAGGTGGCAAGAGTTTGTTATATGCCAGATTTCTGTTCCACCGCATTTGTGATTCGCTATTTTCATTTTCCCCAAAATTTCGCCGTTCTTTTTTCTTTCTCTCTCTCCATTTTCTCTTTGTTCACTCACTTGCCACTTTCCAATTAATCTTTCCCTCCCATTAGGATGTGCTTCGCCAAGACAAAACGATGAAGCCTCTGGATCTCATTCTTTCTTTAACAGCTACTTGAGCGTCAAGCAATTCACCGGATTTTTGGGAGAAACAGAAAAGAATTCCAAGATTTGGAGAAGAGCTATAGACAATTAGATTCGAATTTTTTAAATCTCGTGCGGTGGCCTAGGAAAAAATGAGTGCCTCGAAATTCATAAAGTGTGTCACCGTCGGCGATGGTGCCGTCGGCAAAACCTGCTTGCTGATTTCCTACACCAGCAACACTTTCCCTACGGTGAACCTTTTTCGCTTTCTTTTCCTTCTTTTTGTTCTGCGTGATCGTAGTATTTTCTTGATTTTCGTATAAATCAGATCCGAATCGGTTGAAATTGTTTATGTTCGAATGAGCTCTGTTATATATTTCGTCAACATTGAAATTGCTCGATCGTTTCTTTTTTCGGTCTCTCATAAATGCAGTACAGTGCAGGAATATGATGTCCAAGGAGATATCTTCTCAGTGAATCCAATATTAATGTTTTTTTTCTTTACTAGTAACTGTTTGCATTTGAAATTCTTATGGTACCAGGACTATGTCCCAACTGTTTTCGACAATTTCAGTGCAAATATCGTTGTGGATGGCAGCACTGTCAACATAGGCTTATGGGATACTGCTGGTAATTTCGAAATAACTTGTAGAATTTCTCCTTTTAGCAATTCCGGTTTCTTTCTTGCTTGTGATTTGAAATCATTGCCTTGGAACAGGTCAGGAGGATTACAATAGATTGAGACCACTGAGCTATCGTGGAGCTGACGTCTTTATTCTTGCATTTTCTCTCATCAGCAAGGCTAGTTACGAAAACGTTGCAAAGAAGGTTTAATCATTGGATATTTGCCCTCTGTGATGATAATTTTATGCATTATAAGACGTATGTTAACACATTATCCATGATGTGATATGTGTTTTTCTTGCTTTCGGTTTCAGTGGATTCCTGAATTAAAGCATTATGCACCTGGCGTTCCAATCGTTCTCGTTGGAACTAAGCTCGGTATGACGATTCTTGCTCCCTCGATAGTGGTATATGCGGATCTATTGGTTTGATTCACTAATGGCCTAAAAGGGTTTCATAAACTCTTCCCATTTCATTGAATGTTGCCGTGTTTATGACTCCTTGCTGTCACAGATCTCCGGGATGACGAGCAATTCCTTATGGACCATCCTAATGCAATTCCGATTTCTACGGCTCAGGTAAATGTTAAAAACGTATTATGTTTTGTGCTTTTCAACGGTAGTATGTTTCACCTAATTTCAGCATTAGTCTTTGCTTATTTGTGAAGGGAGAGGAATTAAAGAAACAGATAGGGTCTTCTTCCTACATTGAGTGTAGTTCGAAAACACAACAGGTAAATTTCTCAACATATCAATGTAAACTTAGAAGAAACATATCATTGATGATCTTATGTGTTGGCCTGTACTTCAGAATGTGAAGGCAGTTTTTGATGCGGCTATAAAGGTAGTGCTGCAGCCTCCGAAAAACAAGCAAAAGTCGAATGGTGGTGGTGGTGGTGTACTTTGCTCAATATTGTGATCAGTGGAAGATTCGAGTCCGAAAAAGGCGGATCAACCTGCCAGCTTCTTGCTGCTCGTATCCCCATCCGTGTCAACCATTTTTTTCTCTAAATTCTAGTAAGAAGCAAGCCATCGTGTATAGTCTTTGCTGACATTCTGGGTATTTCTTTGAAAGCTTCTAGTGGTTTGTTTCTTGTTTTACTTATTGTCAATCTCTAATTGATGACAAGCATTCCTTCCTCTTCTGCTTTAATGTTTAAGCTTCACGCATTCATTAACCAGATGCGATGAAGATTCCATTAAGAAACGACTGTTTTCTTTCACGACGTTTAAAGTTTTTGCACTTTGCTTAAATGATTAGTGTTGATGCCATGGATCAGTCATTGAACTTTGTTGAATTACTCTGTCATGTTATTATTATTGAACTGGATTTATCAATATTTAATTTTTTCTTTGTACTGTATTAAATTAATTAATCTGCTTTCATACCCATTACAAGAAATGTTCACCGCAAATATTAAAACAAAATGTTGGGAAACACATGTCCATTTCGAAGAGGCAGAAGTAAAACCAATACCGACGTTTTTGTCCAAGGCGACATCAATACTACGTTATTCAGTGAGATGATTGCGAGTTCAGCGGTATTCGACTTAATTTGAAAATTGATTAATTAATATATACTTAATCAATATTTGATAAAATTAATAAATTTTGTTCGATTCATATTCTTTAAAAACTTTCATTCAATATATTTTTTTTAAAAAAGTTTTATCTTATTTTTTAAAAATTATATGTAAAATCTAGTAATATTATGCATAGCTTAATTAATGTAAACTTAAATTAAAAAATTGGACGAAAAATATCAAAATTGTATGTAAAATAATTTTAAAGTTTAAATGCAAAGTAACAATAAAAAACACATCAAACTAACATATTAAAATTAGAACAACAATCTACAAATATATCAAACTAATGCATTACAATTATTCTTGAAAAAAAATATATTTAACAATACATGATCAATTTTAAAAATAGAATAAATAACATCTTCTCATAAACTTATTGAAATGAATTAAATCTTATTTAATTTAATACATAAAGATTTTAAATCAAATAAAATCAACCTAAATTAAACATTCATCGAATTTTAATGGAATCATTTTTAAGACGCTAAATTCAGTTAACAATCATAATCAATACCTTCATAAAACAATGTAATAAATAAAACAAAATGTCTTTGGGTGCTTTATTTAGGCGCACGATAAGATTTTCTCTGGATGCACGTTAGTTGGCCTAACAGAATCTGAGGATCTCCGTCGCGTCTTCGACGTTCCCATTCTTTTCGGTGAAACTTCCTCCAGATTATCATTTCTGTCTCAAATCATGTGTGAAGGCCCAATGAACTGAAGGAAGCTATTTGAATGCTCTGTGGGACAAGACTTATAATTTTTCCCGCCTAGGGTTCGCGATGGCTCCACAATCGTTCAGCCTCCTTATGAGGTTTTGGAATCTGGAATTTCCTAGTGGAAGCTCTCATTGGTAGGCCAATTCCTTGGTGCAGCCCCAAGATTTGCTTCTATGCAGTGTATAGTGGAAAACTTATGGAAGAAAGCTCTTGCGGGTAACAATGTCCAAGTAAGCTTTGCTGGGAACAACCTCTATGTTTCTCCTTTTTTTCTGAATCTGATAGGGACTGGGTACTAGAGAACGGGCCTTGGCATATCTTAAACAAACCCTTGATCTTAAGAAAATGGGAACTGAACCTAGGTAGATTGAACTTTGATTTAACCAGAATCTCCATTTGGGTTCATCTCTATAATGTTCCTCTGGAACTTTTCTCTCGTTCTGGGCTAAGTTACATTTCGAGTGCCATTGGAATTCCTCTTTCCATGGACTCTATTACTGCAGCTAAGTCTCATATTGAATATGCTAAAGTTTACGTCGAAATAGGGGTCAAAGATGAAATACCTAAATTTATTGATGTTGTACTCAATGAGGGTAAATCTATATCGGTTCTGGTTGAGGTCCCCTGGTTGCCATCTCGATGTAGAACTTGTAATATTTTTTTCCATTCTGAGAAGGGTTGTTATTGAAGACAATGTTCATTCTGTAGAGGTTCCTATATGTCCTGATTTTAATGTTCCACAAAAAATTAACAAAAGTGATAATTCACTAACTGTTAATAAGAAAGGTAGGGGCATGCCTTCTAAAGATAAAGCTAATGTATCTTTAGCAGGTTCAACTAATAGATTTGAAGTCCTAAGTGGGGTTGATGACTCAACCTCTATTACCATAGGCCAAAATCGAAATCCTCAAAAATCTTCTTTAGGTGTGGCTGGTATAATCAATGATCCGAAATCAAAGAAGAAACATAAAAGTGAAAAGTCTTTGAATTCTGTTGATAGTGGTAAAGGGGTTACCACTGACAATCCTTCCCAATGATAATTGTATTCTGGAATGTTAGAGGACTTAATTTTCCTCTAAAACAAGATAGAGTTTTCAAAAGAGCAATCCAAAAAAAAGTTGAAGTTCTATACTTATTGGAGACTAGAGTCAAATTTGATAAGGCTGGTGACATTCTAGGAAGCAAATTTAAAAATTGGAATGCCTCTACTAATTATGACTACGCCGTGAATGGCAGAATCTGGATACTTTGGAAAACTGGTATACACTTTTCAGTTATTCATTCTTCTGATCAAAGTATGTCTATCAAAGGTTCCTACCTTGGTGTTCCTCTTGTTATAACAACTGTGTATAGTTGTAATGATGGCGTGGTGAAAAGATTATTATGGCGACAACTACGTGATATGGCTTTTAGCATAGGCCATTTCCACTGGATCCTTGGGGGCGATTTTAATGTTACTCTACATCATTCTGAGAGTTTTGCCTCCGATCTTCTGGGACCATTTATTTCTTCTGATATGCGTGACTTTCAAGATGTTCTTTCTGATCTTGATCTCATCGATCACCCTTTTTTGGTCCCTCATTCACTTGGTGTAACAAGCAGCTTAATCCTTTTCTTGCTAGGAAGCTCGATAGAGTTATTGTTAATCCTAATTGGATGAATAGTTTTAAGGCTTCTCACGTTGAATTTCTTGCCCCGGGTATTTCTGATCACTGTTTTGCTCTGGTATGACTCTCAAAAGAAATTCAAGCTAATTGTCCTAAGCCCTTCAAGTTTTTCAATTTCTGGGTTCAACACCCTAACTTCTTGAATGTCGTTCATCAATCTTGGATGATTCCAGCTCAAGGAAATCCAATGCAGTGCCTTTTTTATAAATTAAAGCGGTTGAAAGCCAGCCTTAGGGAGCTCAATCATTCTAACTTCAATGACATTACTGCCAGGGTCCTCCAAAAGAAAATTGAACTGGAAATTCAGCAGCTTAAAACACTAAAGGGTACGGATGTTATTGATAAGGAAATCCATCTGCAAGCTAAACTTAAAAACCTTGAAGCAGCTGGAATTTTGTTCTTAAAACAAAAAGCTAAGATTCAATGGCTAAAAGATGAAGATAAATGTTCCAAACTGTTTCATTATACTTTAGCCCTAAAAAACAAAAGAGATACCATTCGTATCTTGGTTGATGATCAAGGTAATAGGTTGGAAACATTTGATTCTATGGCAGCAGAGGTGATAAGTTATTTCACTAATTTGATTGGTACTAATGATCCTGAGGTGAAAATTCTTGATCCTTGTATGTTGAAAAACATTATTCTTGATCCTTGTCTGTTGAAAAACATTCTCCAGTATACTCTACCTGAGGAAAGTGCTGATGATCTTGTAAAAGAAATTACTAAATATGAAATTAAGAATCTTTCTTCTGTTAAGGAAATGACAAGTCTCCCGGACCCGATGACTATACCTCTTACTTTTTCAAACAAGCTTGGCCTATTATTTGTGTGGATGTTATTGCTGCCATTAAACAATTCTTTCAAGAAATTTTTCTTCTTCCAGCTTTCAGTGCTACCACCATTGCTTTGGTTCCAAAGATTCCTAACCCAAGCAAAGTTAAAGACTTTAGACCAATATCCTGTTGTTCTGTGTTCTATAAAGCCATATCCAATATTATGGTTAGTAGACTTCAAGAATATATCCCTTATATTGTTTCTCTCAATCAAACCGCTTTTATAAAAGGGAGAAGTATAGTGGACAATACCCTTCTAGCACAAGAACTAGTTCGAGGCTACAATAGGAAGAACCTCTCTCCTAGATGCTCTTTAAAGATTGACCTTCATAAAGCTTTTGACACACTGAATTGGGACTTCATTTATGCCATTTTGCAAGCCATTGGGCTGCCAAGTGTCTTCTTTAACTGGATTGATCTTTGCTTTTCTACTGCTAGATACTCTATCTCCTTTAATGGGAGTCTTTTAGGCTTCTTTAAAGGAGCTAAAGGCATTAGAAAAGGTGAACCCCATTTCCCCTCTGTTATTTGTTATCTCAATGAACATCCTCTCTAAACTCCTCAATTTAGCACTGTCAAAGGTATTTTTGGTTTACATCCAAAATGTAAAAAAATTGGGCTTACTCATATTTCTTTTGCTGATGATCTTTTAATTTTCTGCAAATGAACTGCTGATTCATGTTATTAGGGTCTCAAGTGTCCTTGATTTTTTTATGAGATGTCTGGACTTAAGCTTAATGCCTCTAAATGTGACTTATATGCTGCTGATATGCATTTATCAATTTTGGAGGAAATTAAACTGCTCACAGGGTTTAAAATTGGCAGACTTCCCGTAAGATATCTAGGAATCTCTCTTATCACTAGAAAAATTACTGAAAAAGATTATGTTGCTCTCATTGATAACATTAGAGCAAGGTTAAATCATTGGTCTGCTAAATCTCTAACTTATGCTGGAAGACTGGAATTAATCAAAGTTGTTTTATTCAGTATCACTAATTACTGGTGTAGGAAAATCACCCTTCCTCATTCTGTTCTTAAGAAAGTTGAGCAACTTTGCTCACGTTTTTTCTGAAAAGGTGAAGATAAAGTTGCAACATGAGCTAGAGTAAGTTGGAAAAACATGTGTATACTGAAATCTGAGGGAGGGCTAGGACTTAAAGATTTTAAGACTTGGAATAAAGCTTGTAAGATCCTCCATATCAAAAATATTTTAGCAGGTGAAGGTTCTCTATGGGTTGCTTGGATCAAACACTATGTTCTTAAGGACAACAATTTCTGGAATTTTAATGTTCGGTCCTCTTGTAGCTGAAACTTAAGGCGTATTTTAAAACTGAGAACCGATGCGTTTTTAATTTTGTCTACTGGAGTAATGA